ACAAAGACTTTTTGTGGCTTACAACTCACAACCACAAGTCCAAACATAAGTCTAAATAAGCAAATTAATTGTTAAAGTAAGAGTTTGCATAAAATAACATTTTTAAGAGTGGGTGGCTCAAGACTACAGCCCTGGCCCTGGTAAAATAATGGAGGAAGAGAAGAGGAGGATGGGAAGGAAAAGGACTCACAGACTCTGGGGCCTTGATGAAGATCTTGCCCTTGCCCAGCTGGTACTGATCTTGGTCCATGTTGACAGAGCGCAGCAGGTGTAGCACCCCCTGCCTCTCATCCCCACGCCACTGTGGCCAGGTCTCCTTTGTCAAGATGGCGTACCTGCACACAACCACAATATCCAAAAACGATGGGTCTCAATTACACATGCTGGCTACTGGCTGCATTCCAAAAGAAAGACATAATCCATATTCTCCCCTTTCATTTAATGCTGATTTCCAGGTTAAGCTTATTATATTCTGGGCTCTTGTATCACTCACAAGGACAAGCTGTACCAAATCCTTTGAACTTGATCTCATGAAGTTCAAAGTCAACATTAGAACCCTGTACCTCACAATGATCTGACAGGTGTTACCAGAAAAGCCAACAACAGACAATGCATTGGGTTCCGAAAGGTGCCATTTTCCAATCACACAACATGAAGAAATTAAATCAGAGGAGGTAATTTGATGTTTCCATGGCTATTTTATTCAAATGTACACAGTACAGTAGTCCCCACCCTGACTTTTTCCAGGACAGGTGAAGGATCTACACCATGAAGAAACAAAGCCATGGAACAGTGCTTCTCCTCCCATATCACAATGAGGACACTGTACTGTGCCACTGATGTGGCTGCCTGTGCTGTACCTACTAATTTGAATGTATTATTTGAATCTGCAAAAGATGAGTCAGCCATTGCATCATGACAAATAAATGCAACAAGAGCAATATGAGTATTCTGAATATGGTCTTCTTGAAAAGGACCCTGTATTTAGATAGTGTGGGTTAGAGGTTAAGCCTTATGTTGCTCCCCTCATTACCCACGGCAAGCTACCATTCCGGTCTTATTTAGAGTACCTATGCAGGAACTTGCTGAAGACTCGGCGGAAGGCATAACCAGCGCGGCGGACCCGGATGTTCTCTCGCAGGCCCAGGTACTCCACCTGGTGCTTGACACGGCTCTCCTCCCAGTCACGCGGCTTCTTGGTCTCGTTGGGCTTGATGCAGCGGATATAATGAGGGGTACATTTCATAAGCGTCTGGACCAGGTTGTTGGCCTGTTTCTGCAGGGGAGAATGGCCACAGTGGTGATGTCAATGAGGATGATGATTGTGATGGTAATGACAATGGCATGGCGTTGATGAAAAGCATGATTCTTAAGACTCTCTCCTTTCCCCCATGGGAAAACAAGCCAGCACAAACATTCCCACTCTCTGTCACCATCGCTCTTATGCACGCTCAGCCAATGGTGATCTGCTTGTTACAGCAGTCACCCACAGAGCATGTTGGCATCATACTGTCCTCAGCTCTTCACAGAAGAGTTTCCATCATCAGTGCTCTTACCTTGATCTTGCTGCCTGCAGTGGTGGGGCGACCCCTTTTCTCAGCCTCCAGATTTTCTGGGAAAAGGTCTTTGATAAAATTGCTGAGCACAAAGAGAGAGACAAATAACTCAATGGGCAAAATGTTACAAAGAAAAGCAGACATTCATCCACACTGTCAAATTCAGCCCTTGACTTTTCACACTCACAATTCACTGCTCTGCATTAGCTCTATGATGTCATTAAAGAGCACATCTCTGTTCCTCTCACAGAAGCCACTCACGTCATATGACACCTAGAAAGGACATAGAGAGAGAGATAGAGAGCCATCTTATTTTCCTGCTTGGCTGGATAATGCATTCATGCACCTCACTAAGCCTTCAAGCAGAATATAGTACCACTGGTTTTCTGCTTTTGAGGAATACAATTAACTATGTGGCTTGAAGTCACCCCAGGGGATCTCATACTATTACCCCATAATGCCACATTCTAACCTCATTTTCCCTAGTAATGACTGTCGATTGCATGTCTAACTTAAATCAAACATTGGCCAAAAACATAACCACAAGCTGAGTGGATATTATGAGGGCACCCTTATGGCATTTATATATACAACATGAAACATATCCCTTGTTTTGCTGTGGTGGTTCTCTTACATGTCATTCCAGTGCTGCAACCCAAAGTGAAGAAAAATACATCCATCAAGCTCTCATGTCTAAAATTCAACAAGCGTCACTATGTCAAAAAGCAGGATATAGTCTCATGATCTAGTCTAGCATTTAAAGAAGAAAGACATTCCAAATGTCCAACTTAATTAACATTTACACATAGTGGTACAAAAGGTCATGGTTTAGTAGGATGACAAAGGTGTCTGTCTTTGTCTCAAATCAGAATCATTCAAAACAAGTATTTCAAAGCTTGTCATGAGCAGAACATGGATGACCACCCACGATATACTGAATAGACACTTGGGCCCTTTGTATACAGAAGTAAAAGGAGCACCCCCTGCCTTTCCAGCATAGTGGTGCACCACGAAGCCTTTGTTCCAGCTGTTGAAGTGCTCGTGGGTGCCAATCTGCATCTGCAGTTTCTGGATCAGCGTCTGATCTGCACCCTCGCCCTTGGCGTGCATGGTGGCACACACGTCATCCAAGATGCTCATGATTCCTGGTGGATTCTGGGTTTAAAAAAAAATCAAAATCAGGCATGTTTGTTGTAGCAGCTGTACAGTTATGCAATCACATACACAATTCATGCAACTGTAATCAAACCTGAGTGTCACTCAGAGCAACACTCAAGATTGCTACTCCTCTACCACTCAGTCCTGGCCCATAATGCCATTTTAGCATGAGGCATCACACATAATCATTCATTTTCAACATACAGAATCATTTCACAGACTGCTGTTCTAAGGGGTCATAGTTAAATGTGACATTAGTGAATCATTCACACATAGTTATACATTCTCTTTCTGTTTTTTTTTAATCAATGCAAAAAAGCCTGAAGTCAGTCAATCCAATATGGATTTCCTGGAGTACAAAGGTCACTACTCACCACTTTAGACTCAATGAGGTCACACACTACTTTGTTGTTGAAATACTCAATAGGCGTCCATTTGATCCCTTCCTGAACATACTCCTCCTGTAACACAGACAGAAAGTAGAGAGCAGATACAGCAGAGAGGAAGCTCTGTACGGTCTGTTGACAGCCCACATCAATCCTGAAGAGAATCACTGCGTGTGAATGCCAAGGGGACTCCAGCAAGGGTCTTCACTGCCCCACAGACTGCCAAAGTGCCCCACCCGCCTGCTGCTTACTGTGCCAATTTACCTGCTCTGCCTTCAGCGTCAGCTCGATGAAAATCTGCTGTAGTTTCTCATTCACAAAGTTGATGCAGAATTGCTCAAAACCATTTTTCTATTAGGGAAAAGAGAGAACAAAAGGACTTTAAAGGTATTGGAAACTCAAATCAATGTGGATTACTGTTTCACTTTGTAATGTTTTGTGAGTAGACAAATCCGTCATTCACCCATATATTAACCCAAGACAAGTTATAAACCTTAACAGGTTTAAAGTCAGTAGTTAGTATAGTTAATGGCTGGGTATTTTTAAGCAGTTCTAGTCCACATCTTAAAGTGGATAAACTCCCCCTAAATGAAACGGAACAAACCCCTACTAATTGTATGATGTATAGAGCACAGAATTACCTACCTGGAAGATCTCAAAGCCATAGATGTCCAGCACTCCAATATTAAACTCTTCATGGTCTTTCTGCATGGCTTTGTTAATGGCCTAAAAGGTGGTGTGATACAGAATGACAGCTGTTTAATTTACCCAAAAGAATTCAACTGGATTCCTTGCACATGAGCAGCTGTCTGTAGGCTTACATTCAGTGTGTCAAAACATCCACTCCTTCATTTGACTTGCAGTTTCCTTTACCAAATAGCATCAACAGCTAAGAAGGGAGACAAATTATATATGAAGCAGGACCCTACACGCATAAATCCTGACCATTCTACATTTGACATTTGATTGTGAAACATGCTTCAACTTGAGTGCAACACAAAAGCAGCTACAGTTGAACATCTTCCATAGTATGGTGCAATAAGTGCACACCAATTTAAGTAGAGTATGTAAATTCTGTATGCATGGATATTCATCACTGTACTGATATATTTTCATTTGGACAGTGAAATGGGTTGAGCCTGTAGTCACATTCACAGTAAGTGCAGCTGAAGTAGCAAAACCAACTGCAATGTAACATTAAGCATGCCGGGTAAAACAACTGGCCAAGGCCTACTAGACAACACTTTTCCAAATTTTGATAGAAAGGACACAGCTGGTATATGTGGGGACTTTTTCCCCCATCATGCTCTAACACTGAGAGCTAAACTGGAACACTTGCAACACAAACACTCAATTTTTCTGTATCACAGCTGAGATGACGAAGCAAAAATATGTTAGACAATGAAAGAGCTACAGTAAGGTAGTCATTGTCCAACTCACATCCACAAGGTAGTCGAAGAGGCGGGAGTAGAGGGCTTTGGAGAGGGCGTCCCGAGTGAAGGAGGCCTGCTCTGTGTTGAGAGTGACGGAGATGCTCTCAGACTTGCCCCCCCACTTGCTGTCCATGATACGACTGGTAAGTTTCTCCTTTAGCCCGTTCTGGGAGATGCCCAGGAGGTAGGCTGGGAATGCCAGGACTGAGGGGGTAGAGAGGGTGCATGACAGAGAAACAGGGAATCAGAGAGAGAGAGTTGCACACACAGTCCAAAGAAATAAAACTAATCCATGTCATGTCATGGTACACAAGAATAACTGAGACAAAACCGTCATAACAGATTATTCTTGCTGCTTAAGTGTCAAATTCAGTTTTGCCACCAAGCTGTGTAAATGTGTTCAAAACTAGATGCCTTAATGCAGAGTAATATGCATGTAATTTGTGCTTGCTACATGGCAGTGGGGTGGCAGTGTAGCATAGTGGTAGGGAGCATGACTCATAACCAGAAGGTTGCTGGTTCGATTCCCTGCTGGGGCAATGCTGCGGTACCCATGGGCAAGATATTTCACCCAGAACTGCCTCAGAAAATGTCTATCTGCATAAATGGATAAAACTGTAACCTGTGTAAGTCGCTCTGGATAAGAGCGTCTGCTAAACGATAATTATATGACTCATTTACACAGCTGGACATTTATTGGATCAGTTTGAGTTTAGCACCTATGTCAAAGTTATAATGGACACCCCCCTGGACACTGAAGGAGCAATTTATGGGTTAAAGGCCCATTGCCTTAACTAGTGCTGTCACAGATACAAGAGGCCATCGTGTAACATCTCATTTTTTGCTATAGAGTATAAGGACATAAATAAAGTGAATCACATTCCCATGTAACTGGCAGTGTTTCATGTTTCAAGCTTGCTTGACTCACAGTCCTCACTCTCCACGACGGCGTAGTTGCCTTCCTCTCTGAATGCGATGTTGCCCAGGTGAAGAATACCTGCCACTATCTGCAGCACCGTGGCCTGTTCATCTGCTGTGAGGCCCACTACTGACATGGCATCCTAAGGACAACACACCACAACATGCCAAAATGCAGTAATACCACAAAACACACCATGCCATCCTGACATACGCAACAATGCATAATGCATGACAATAGTGGAAAATTCCACAGGGAAATACACATAGCAATACACAAACACAAAGTAATGCTGTAAAAACACAAAACAACATGTCAATACATAACATGACAGGACACATGCTGAAACTCACAGTGCATGCACAGTAGCACAAATACTACAAATTGCAGCTGCAATGGCATCCTGAAGAGTATACACAGAGCAACACACTCTCTCACCACAAAACTGTTGCAACATCCTGAACAACACACCTAGCAACATGTCAACAAAACACAGTCATCAACAGGTCAAGACACAATCCTAGATAAAAAGCAGAGTTCTATAGCCATCTAAGGGGACCAGACACACACTAAACAAGACAGCATCTCAGCTATATTATGTCTCCAGAGAAACTCATTCACTCTAAACAGACCAATTCCTTTGAGAGATTTTGTTGCTGACAGGCTTCAACTCACCATGGTGTCAGAGAACTCCTTCTTGTCATTGACGTCCTCTACAGTGTAGGTCCCAGACTGGTTGAGGTAGAGGTAGTAGTCGGGGGTGGTGATGCCAAGGTTCTCTCTCTGTTCTTTGGTAGCACCCTCAAGGAGCTGGAGGACAAATGTCATAGGTCAGTAAGGTAGCTACCTGTCAAGGTCACGGGGTTCAACAACATGACGACAAAGAGTGATGTTACATCGATATGACTCAGTACATGAGATCTGAAATCTGGTATACTGTGTCCATAGAAGTAGAATGTACATTGCCTGTGGCAAAACATTTCTAGAGCGGACTGTCTTCCTAAAGCACAAAACATCCCCTGACAGCCCCTATTGAATGACAGAAGCTGTTGTAAGAGGATGACAGTTTATTATTGTAGTAATCACTTGACTTGAGTATGGGAATGTATTGGTAGGTCCATAGTACAATAGCTTGCCTGGTAGTAGATGTGAAAGTTCCTCTCTCCTTGGTTCTGGGATACAACTCTGGACTTTTCCAGAAGGAAGTTGGATATTTTCCCGCCATCGGGCTCACCTCCACGGCTGAACTGAATCTCAAAGTACTTCCCCTGTTGCAGACAGACAGACATACAATAGATACAGGCTTAGGTATCAGGGCCAAGGTTCAATCAGTGTAGTCACCCACAAACACAAGTGACACTCACTTCAAGCAAGTCTAACAAATATATTTTCATTTTGTTTCTTACTTTACACCTTATTTGGCATGCAAATAAAATGTACTACCATAACCTCAAGAGCAGAGAGCTGCCCCGTTGGTTTCCCCATGTGTAACCATCAGCATTCTTCATTTCTCTGTCCCAGGAAGTGAGAGATGAGTGCATACTCAAGTTCTAATTCCCTCTAACAAGAAAGTACTTTAAGGGTCATTTTTGAGACAGTAAAAACATGTTTAAGCGGCTGTCTTGAACCAATGAAACCATTTATATTTAATGGGGAAGTTAGAATTTTATGAAATTTAGCTGGAATTGACAGTAATCACTTAAATATTAATACTCTAACTTAAAAGGGGTTTAATCTCTTGATGGGCATCATACAGCCTAAGAACAAATATTTTGGATCATGACACTGAGATTAGGACTCATCTGCATGCCTACATGCCTACACCTGCTAAGCTCTCCTGTGGGCTCAGGTTTAGGAGTGACTTTAAATGATTTACTTTAAATTATGTAGTTGAATTAATGGACCAGTTAACTGGGTTTTCACAGTTCCGCATCTCTTCACTCAGGTGTAACTCACAAAGCGACTGGAGTTGTTGTTACGGACAGTCTTGGCATTCCCAAAGGCCTCCAGCAAAGGATTGGACTGAAGGATAATGTCTTTCACATGCTGTGAATGAAAGAAAGAGAGTGGATGTGAGAGGAGAGTAAAAGAAGAGCAGATTGACTGTATGGTGACCGACACAGGGGAGGTTCTGACAGAGATGCACTTCCTCTTGTATTGTTCAAACCACAAAATTCAGGCAGTGCGCATTTTCAAAAATATGAAACCCAAATTCCCCAACTGATCCTCCTCCCTGAATATCTGAAGCTCTCCCTGCTACAGAGAGGGGAGCAGTGGATTGCAAGCCTTGTGCCCAGATATGTATTAGTCTGCCACTGCCTGAGGAAGGGTGGGTCACCTATGTCTGTGTGGGTGAGGAAGGGAGGGGAACGAAAAAGGGTACTTGTACTGTTCAAATAGAAATGGAAGTTTATCTTCTACTTAGAGTTGTGTGAAGAACAAAACAAGAGATCTGTCAGGGGGTTATTACATTCAAATTTATTATACACAATCAGTCTCCCCTTTTCTGTTTTTTACTGTGCTGCAATATGTTGGAAACATAATTTTCTTATTAAATCTAGCTGATTTGAACGCACACATTGGTAACACTGGGAAAAACCAGAAGACCATAACTGGATACAAAAAGGAGGGACAAAGGGAGAGGCTGAGGAGGGCTGAGGGGGGTCTAACCTGAACTTTGGGCCCACCGCCTGATACTTTGGAGATGTAGCTCATGATGTACTTGGCTGCTACGGTCTTCCCAGCTCCACTCTCCCCACTGAAATGGTAAAGGTGCACTCACTGTAGATGTACCACCAAGTACAGTTACAAGAAATATTAGTATCATCTGTTCAACAAATTCCTCTGAGACACTGAAATACAGGATCGTCTGCGTGGGCCTCCACATACACAGAGACATGATTCATTTTCGCATGGCTTGACTTTAAGGTTCAGACCTGATTATGACACACTGATTCTCCTGGTCGATCATCATGTTACGGTACATGTTGTCTGCCAGGGCGTAAATGTGTGGTGGATTCTCATACTGGGCCTGTGGACAAGGTCATCATCATCATTATCATCATCATCATCATCATCGTGCCACACAGAAGCTAAGCAGTGAGGATGGGAGAGGGTGACATTTTTATGGAATGATGTGAACAAATAAACCTGTTCTCACATTCTGTCCCTTAGACATGGCAAAAGCTAGAACCTACAGTAGATGGCACTAAACTTCAACTAGTTTGAACTCTTTTTCTCACTCATTCCAGAGATAAAGTCGAAGCAATTCATAATTAATAAAGACAAATAGTGGAGGCTGTAGAAGGCAGAATGAATAGACAGAAAATCCCACTGCAGCACAGAAAAAAGTTCAGGGGAGTGAGAAAAGCCAGAGAGCCTGCAGACATTCAGGTTATTCAATGACTACTTGATATGAAGAGGGACTCTGATTGGCTGAGGCATCCAGGAATGAAATCACACTAAGGAGACAGGAATTGAGAAGCAGGAAGTATATTGCCTGAATGTACAAAACATACAGTTCTATTTGTACACAAATGGAAAGGTGGTCACAGATGCTGTGTAGACACTAAGACAGTTATACAGGTTAATGAATAAATGTCTTTACAGAAGTATGTGTACGCCCACACACACATACACACAAACTCATCTTAGTCCTAGCATGTCTGCACCTGCTGAGGCCCTGCCCAGCAGAAATCAACTCTCCTGAGGGCTCAGGTTTAGCAGTGACTCATCAAGCAATTCCAAGCACTCTGGCTCTCTTAAACACCTGCTGACTGAGTTGGAGATGCCAGTACAGAACCCTGTATGGACCTATCAAGTATCCCATATCAATACCAAGAGGTCAATAAGTGGCTAGCTGAAGTAAGCACCTTCATGTTTGCACTACATACTATACATCATGAAACCCACTAAGTTTGAGCCATGATGCAAGAGAAGACAAACAGAAACTGATGACACATTCAGCGGTATGAAGTCGTACAGATCTTATCAAAGAAACACACAAGATTAAAGAAAGGATAACTGTTTCCTTACATTACCACATGGTTTTTCCCCATTTACAATTCATGATGCACACGTTAGTACACGATGATCCCCTAAAAATCACTGACTACACCGGAGTAACCAGTTGCGCATGTCTCCGCTACCTGTGTAATTTCTATTGTGCATGTTACCCTATGGAGAAAAACAGAATTTCAACTCACTGCCCCCTGATACAATTCCACCTCCCGGTCTGTGAAGTATGGCAGCTGTTTGAAGGGATTGACAGAGATCAGCACAGGGCCGATGTAGGTCTGAGTGGACAGGGTTAAGCAGTAACTGTCATCCATTTGTGTACTAGTCACCTATGTCTATCATGAAGTCAACAGGGTTTTTTTATACTGACTTTCCTATCATACAGAAAAGTAAAACAATATTCATACACAAATGTAACAGGGTAAATTCATACATACTCGGGCTGTATGTAAGCAGCTGGACAGGGTTACAGGACATTCGGCTGTAAACTCGTTGTGTGCTTAACCATGTTACAACTGATTTCAAAAACTGATCTGCAGGAGTCAGCATCAGAACTCTCACTGTCGTCTCTTCTGAGCTCAAATATGGTCTTTAAAATGCATTA